CTAGACTAAAGAACAAAAACGACAGCAACTTGTCTGTTCCCCTTCCCCCAATTCCCCAGCACTGTTCCCATCCCCCCCAATTCCCCAATAAAAATCTTTAAAAAAAAAAAAACCCTCTGATGGGTTTTGTTTAAAAAAAAAAAAAGAATTTGTAGGTTGGGGTGGGAATCTCTTTAGGAGAGGATGGGGCTATAATGGGATTCAGGCTTTGGAGGCAGAGAGACCTCAGCTTACTTGAATCCTGATTGTTATTTACTGTGTCCTTTGGACAAAAAGAGCACTTCTGTTCCCCATGCCTATAAAATGGAAGTGTAACGCCTACCTTCCAGGGCCACCTCAAGTTACTTAATGGGAATGTTCCCAAAGTGCCTGGCTCAGGGCCTGGCATAAAACAAGCGCTCAATAAATGACATTATCATTAATTTTATCCTTAGAACCCGGGACTTGGGCTCCAGCCAGTAGCCAAGGCAGAGGAAGGGCATGGTGAGGAAGATGAGGAAGGCGACAAAGAGCTTCCAGATGGTGGTGCTTCCACGCCAGCCAGCCAGGTTCCCACACCAGATGGAGGACAGGACTTGCTGGCAGATGGGGTGTGCTACAAACTAAGAAGAGATGGGGTATGAGCAGAGGGGAAGCCACCAGGCAGTGAGGAAGAAGGGGGAGCCAGTTGGGTACACAGTCCTTACTTCCCTGCCACAGAGGTTGAGCCATGTTTCCTTTCTCCCCAGGCCAGCCAGCTCAGAAAACAGGCAACTCACTTGCCATGTGACCTTGGGCAGACCCTACCTCTCTTTGGACCTTGGTTTCTTAGTTTATGAAGAAGCTGAACTCAGATTTTCTTGGACTCTCCAGATCCCACATTCTTGATCTAAGTCAGGCAGTGGTAGGTAGAATGGGGTAGCCCAGTCCCAGGACCCTCAGGGTTTCCTGTTTTCTTAGAGATGTGGGACACCAGCCTGAATAGTCTTGAGGAGCAGGGACAGTGAGGGTTGGTGTCTTGGGGGGCCATTATGAAGGAAGGCTTTTGGTGAAGCTCCTGGTAGACTAGGACATTTGAGGGTGTGTGAGAGGGAGGAGTAATGGGCTGGAGGCTAGAAAGGGAGCCTGCCTTTAGCTTAGAGGGAGGGCAACTAATGAGACAGGGAGGAATGGAATCACTTCATATCTAAGCCCTGAGAGATCTCTAGAGAGACTGAAGTCTAATAGCAGGAAAATACTGGACCAAATTACTTAGCAGGCCAGAGGCAGAGCTGAATGGAAGACCCAGATGTCTGGAGTGCAGGTGGGGTGCTGGTGCACGATGGGGTTTCCGAGGGCTGGGGAGAAGTTAGGGGCTTAGATTGAAGGTAGGAAGGGAGGGTGGGAGACCCATAGGACCAAGGGCCTAGATAGAAGCATGCTCAGAATCAAGTTTAAGAGGGTCCTGAGGGCAGGGAAAGGACTTGCTGAGGGTTGGAGTGGGGATACCTAGAGATGGCAGGGCAAGGGCTCAGGGCCGGGGCAGTTGACGGCCAGTCGCAGCCTCGCCAGGTTGGGGATGCCTTCCTCAAGTCCCTGGGCCAGGCCTTCGGTCTCCGGCTCAGTCTCGCTGTCCTCACCCAGGTCATTGAGCACTGCAGTGACCTCACTCTGGTTCTGGCACATGCCCAGCAGTTCAAAGCTGTAGTCCTGGCTCAGCAACTCCAGGGCAATGTACTCGGGCTGTAGGGAAGCGGGTGGGTGTGCGCCTGCCACCCGGTGGACCCAGCCCCATTAAGTCAGCCACCACCACCCTCACCCCCACCGTCTCCACAGTGGGCCTGGGCCATCTCTCTCCTGTCCTTGCGCCATCACTTCCCACATCTGGTGTCACGCTGGGTCATTCATTCCTTCTTCTCTGACACTTCACCTCTCCTACTTGCTATAATGAGGTGCCTTCTGTGTCAGCTTTGCGTTTCTGGTGCTGCCTCTGTCTCATCACTAAGTCATTTCAACCCAAACTCCTTTGTCACCTTTGCCCGTCCCTGTATTACTTCCCCCTATACCCTGTCCCGCTTCTACTCCTAGACTTCATGCCTTTCTTGTGTTTATTTACTTAATTTTCTTGAGCACCTTATATGAGAGCCTGTGTTGGCAGTTGGAGGAGAAGCAGACATAATCAAGGCAGATCTGGCCTCCACGCTACCCTTCTTTTCCTCGGTTTTACTCAGGGCCCTAACTCCAGGCAGGATCCAGCCTAGGATTTCAGGAGGCCAGGTCTGAGTCTCAGCACTGGTCTGGCCCTCAGGTGGTGTCACACTGGGCGAGGTACTACCCCTTTCCAGGCTTCAGCTCCCCTGCTTGGAAAGGGGGATGCTAATTCCTGCTGCCTCCTTCCATGGCCTGCTGTGAGAATGGCGGGAGGCCTTTGGAAATAACTGCTCTTCCCTGCTCCCTCTTCATTGTCCAATCCTGCCACAAACCCGGTGAAGCAGCAGGCTCTTTCCCCAGCTTGCCTGGCATAGGCCATATCCCTCCTTAGGCCTCATTTAAAAATCCTTGTCTGTTTCCCTGCTAATGGTAATCTTGAGCATGTGGACCAAGTCTGCCTGGCACAGGGCGGATGTCAGTGATGAGTGATGGATGGAACTGGACTGGTGGTTGTTCAAGGCCCCTGACCAGGCCCCGCCTGCAGGACCCCTGGCTACCCTCACTCATTCTCTGCCCTCACAGGCCTTTGCATACATTATCATGTCTACTTCTGCTACCTGAGAGTCTTGCCTGGCCTGCACCCCTACCTCAAATACCCTCCCTACTCCTCTTCACTTGTATTAAATCACCTACTTGTGTAGCCAAGATTAATCCTGCTTCTTCCAAGGAGTCTGCCCTGAACACAACAGCCATAGCTTCCTGACCTCTTTTCTGGGCTTTGGAAGCCCTTGTAGTACCACCTACATAGACACCGAATGAAGCCGCCCTGTCTGCCCCTCTCTGCCCCCTCCCTGCTTGTGATCACAAACTTGAGGCCCCAATGCATTCAGAAAGGATGGGTTCTGCTGCATGTCGTCTCTAAGTCTGTCCAGCTGCTTTTCTGTTTGTGTTCTCTTCTCCCTCAGGCAGACCCAGGCACACCTAGGGTGGGGCCACCCCACAAGACAAGGTGCCCCTAAAGTGATGACTCTCTGCCATTGGAAGGAATCCCCCAGGGCGGGATTCTGTGACTCCCCATCAAAATGGAGGTTTCGTGAGAACGGAATGAGGTCTCATCATCTTTCTGTCGTTTCCCACTTCCCAGAATACCCATGCGCAACCATGCCCCTGTGGAGGGACAGATACCGGGCACCGAGAGCAGGGGAAAGTCTGAGAAACAAACCTTAAATTCAGGCTCCTGGCGTGCAAGGCGCCTGAGCTCTCGGCTGAGCTGGAAGACAGACAGCATGGCGTCCTCACTGGCCAGTGAAAGGTGGGCCCTGCTGGCAATGCCACGGTAGGTGTTGATGCGAGACAGGGAGAACTTCAGCAGGTCGTAGCGGCGGGCATTGCTGCACTCGAGGCAGGCGCAGGATATCGGGTGGGGCCGGGCAATGGTGTGGCCCTGGTCCATGAGCAGCTGCGCTATCTCATACAGGTCCTTCTGGCAGGCCAGGGTGAGTGGAGTGACACCAGGCACAAAGCGGGAGCCATCGATTGATGAGTCAAAGAAAGCCAGCGAGAAGGACCTGGTGTCCACTTTGGGGTCCTTCTCCCGTTCTAGCCGGGCCAGCAGGTGACGCACCACTGCTGGTTGGTTTGTGTCCACTGCTACTAGCAGTGCCTCGTGGATCTGCTGGAAGTCAAACTTGACATTGGCTAAGAGCATATCAATGATGGCCTCGTGGCCCAGGCGGATGGTCAGATTGAGAGCTTCCCTTCAAGAGCGGTCCTCAGTCTCCTCCACATTCCGCAGGGGTCCGCCTGGCCTGCCGCCCCAGCCTCGACCCCTGACTCCAGTAGCTGCTGCACCAGGTCCAGCCGCCCCGCCTGGATGGCACCCAGGAGCGGAGGAGGGAACTTCAGCTTTTTGTTCACAATCTCGGTCCATCTCGGCTGTGGCTGTATGAAGGAGTGGCGAGGGTGGGACTCCCAAGTTTCAACCCCCTTTATTTTGGGGCCTGCCTCACTCTTCCACCTGTAAGCCCATAACCCTCTATCCCCAGCTACCATTACATTCTTCCTTGTCCCAAACATACACCAACAAAATTTTTTTAAGTCACCATTTTATTATGTGGGTTCTCAGGTTAGCAAAGTGCCAGGACTGGGTGTGATTGGGGTCCCCTTCCTCAGCACAATTTCTATCCTCACAGGAACCCACATACACAGCAGGGCCAAACGTGGGTATCTTGAGAAAGGGACGGTTCAAACAGGTGGACAGGGCTGCCTGGGAGCCTAACTCTACACGCAGGTACACAGGATCTGTCCAGGACCTAGTTCCCAACTTGTTGACGTCATCTCCCGGCTGCTTGTCCCTTTGGAAGTCCCAGAGCCTCTGAAGGGACAAGTCCAGGCATGTCCACACAGGAGGGTCTTTGAACTGGGCTTTTCCCAAGCCCCGCAGGTCTGTCCAGGCTTCCTAGCAGGATCCCAACACACTCTTCCTCCACCAATCCACTCCCACCCCCAGCTCTGTCCCCTCCTGTGTGGGGCAGCGTTTCTCCCGTCAGTGCTGCTGGTCCCTGCCTTCCTCCAGGCCCAGCCCATCCTCACCGCGCTTCTCTTCTGAGCCCAGGTTCGGGGCTCCAAAGGCTCTTCTCCCGCCCACGTGGTAGTGTCCACCACCTGCACCTCAGCTAGGATGTCCCTGCCACCCCTGTGTTGTTTTAACCAAGGCCAAAACTGGGACCAGGATGGGGGATGGTGGGGAGCAGAAGGCCCCTTACCATGACGGGGTCCATGGCTGCACCCACCTAAGCTGGCGGGGATCGCAGGACGGAACTCCTACTCACTCTGTCTGCTCCCCTGACTGTGTCCCGCTGCCTCTTTCCTGTCCATTCAAAACCCCGCTCTGGGCCCTCCCCTTGCCAGGACCAGCTGCTCCCCCTCAGCCCTGTACCCTGGAGACCAGGGGAACTGGTGTTAGTGCCACACAATGAAATCCTCTGAGAAAGGGGAGAGAGGACATAATTGCTCAAAGAAGGTGGGAATAGAATTTAGAACGTCATAGCTGGCAGGGACCTTTCTGCCTCATTGAACAGATGGTGGCAAGGATTTGCCGAAGGTTCCACAACCGATCCTAGAGCCATTCCTTAGTCACTGACCCATCGGATCCCTATGACAGCTTTGTGAGCAGGACAGGGGTTTTCTCTCTGTTACTGAGGGTTAATTCTGGGCCTGAGATAAATAACTTGCTTAAAGTCACATAGTAACACTGTTACCTGATTACATTTAGGAAGGGAACACACAAAGGATATGGAGAGTTAAGTTCATGAGATGCTGGAGGTCAGTCTCACGGTCAAAAATCACTTCTCACCTTCCAAGTACACCTCAGGATCTTACTTAATCAGTGCTTTTTTCCACAGGGCCTCAGTTTTCCTTTCAGGAAAATGGGCACAAGGATGCACACCACTCACTGAAGGGAAGACATTCTGAACTGTGTCCCAAAGCCTTAAAGAGATCACCACTTCTACCCCAGAAATTCCAAAGGGGAATTGGGTGAAGCTGTCCTTGGGAAAATATGGTGCCATGGTGACAGAAGCCTTGACAACTGGCAGTGGGGAGCAGGCTGGGCCCAGAGGTGCCCTCAGGCAGAGTCCTAAGGGAACGAGTGGAGGGAAGCAAATAGGGCGCTTGGCCTCGTCAGCCCTTCTCAGCTGTCAAGAGGTCCACTCTCCAGTTTTAGTCACAGACGCCAGAGGGGGCCAAAACCACAGGACCGCATGGCTCATGCCTGAGGGACCTCCCCACACATGCTGGCATGTTCTTCTACTTCTCCTGCTGAGAACTGCAATTGGCAGATAGGGCACTGGACCCACGAAACGGGTGATGAGCTCTCCGAGGAGGACACCCACACGACAGACAGTGATGACGAAGGAGACGAGGAGGGAGAGGCTGGGTGAGGTGGGGCGGGCTCTCCACAAGTGGCAGCATGCTGGGGAAGAGTCTCAAGGCGGAAGGAGCCTAAAGGAGAGAAGGAGGTAGGCAAAGCGGGGCCTGTTCCGAGGCAGGGTGCGATCTCCAGCAGCCTGAAGGGAGTACCTGCTGTCCAAGGGCAGCTGTTCTTGCAGGAAGTGAATATTTTACACCTGAGAGACACTATCCAGTCATGAATCCATCAAACATTTATCAAGTGTTTACTATGTGCCTGACACTGTGCTAGGAGCTGAGGCATATAAACCCAGGCCTGTCCTTATGGACTGCAGAGCTGGGAATAAAGATAAGTTCTGAGCAGAAATAACTGTGATACAAACCAGGTGACAAGTGCTAAGCCCAAGGGAATCGGAGAATGCTGCAGGGGCTCAGTTGGTAGAGATTATCTGAGAAGATTTGAGAAGACTTGGCAAATAAGTACTATTTGAATAGAGATTTCGAGAGTACGTAGAATTTGGACACAGAGGAAACACTTATGAGGGACATTCTAGGCCCTCTCTGATAGTGTTCTATATTGTTTTGCTTCATGCTTCTCCTGAGGACATGGGCCGTGTCCTTTACTCAGCTTGGCCAACACAATGTGAGCAGGTGCTCAATCCAGATTTGTATGTAACTGCAAAGCAGACAGAGGCTAGGGAGTGCAAGTTCAAATGTCTCCTGGCAGCATTCCCCATCTCCTGTTTTGCCCTCAAGGGATGCCTAATAGTCCCACAACAACGCCCGGTGCCCGAGCAGCTTACCTGCACAAATGGGGCACTCTCCACTCTCCTGGATGCCGCTGCTTCGAGCCTGGGGTCCGTGCTGTTCTCGGTGCCGTGCTTTCGCTTTTGCTACTCCCCTCCTGTTTGGCTGAGAGTTCGAGTTGGATAAAGGCCTATGAGAAAGAACAGTTAAAGCCCAGCTATTAGCAAGAGGCCAAAGCGCTGAAGGGACCTTAAGTTAGGGTGAAAAAAATGTAGACTAGTTGATGTAGAGCAGAAACCCTGAGTTGGAGTCCTGGTTTTCCTACTTGATGTATTGGATTTGAGGGAAGTCATTTAACCTTTGAACATCTGAGAACAGAGCTTCTAGTACTGCCTTCAGAATTTTTTTAGTTTTTTTTTATTGAGACATAATGCATATCCCATAAAATTCATCTTTTTAAAGTGTACTACTTAATGGTTTAGGATATTCGCAAGGTTGTATAATCACAACTATCTAATTTCATGTTTTTATCACCCCAAAAAGAAACCCTCAACCTATTACTAGTTACTCCCTATTCTTCTTATCACCACAGACCTTGGCAACCACTAATTTACTTTCTGTCTCTATGTATTTGTCTATTCTGGGCACTTCATATAAATGCAGTCATTTATAATAATATGTGGTCTTTTGTGTCTGACTTCTTTCACTTAGCGTGTTTTCAAGGTTCATCCATGTTGTAGCATGAATAAGGACTTCATTCCTTTTTCGTGGCCAAATAATATCCCATCATAGAGACATACCACATTTTGTTCATCTAGTCATCAGCTGATAGACGTTTGGGATGTTTCCACTTTTTAGCAATTATAAATAATGCTGCTATGAGCATTTGTATATACATTGTTGTGTGAACTCCTGTTATCAGTTTTTTGGGGTATATTCCCAGGAGTGGAATTGCTGGATCATACGGTAACTCTGTTTAGCTTTTTGAGGAGCTGTCGAACTGTTTACCAAGGTGGCTGCACCGTTTTACATTCTCATCAGCAATGTATGAGAGTTCCAAACTCTCTGCATCTTTGCCAACACTTGTTATTGTCTTTTCGATTATAGCAATCCCAGTGGGTATGATCACTGTGGTTTTGATTTGCATTTCTCTGATGGCTAATGATGTTGAGCATTTTCATGTGCTTATTGGCCATTTGTATATCTTCTCTGGAGAAAATTCTATTTAGATCCTTTCGCCACTTTAAAAATTAGGTTATCTTTTATAATTGAGTTGTAAGGTTTCCTTATATAATTGAGATACAAGTCCCTTATCAAATATATGCTATGCAAATATTTTCTCACATATTCTGTGTGTTGTCCTTTTTTTCCCCTTATAGTGTCCTTTGAAACAGAAAAAGATTTAAATTTTAATGAAGTCCACGAGGTACAGTGTATGCAGCTTCAGATTCTGGTTCACTGCAGGGCTACCTCCTGGCTTAGCTCCAAGCCTGACATGTGGACAAGGACATCTTTTCTCTGCTACCCTCTAGGTCCAGACCATGAGATCGAGGCCCAGACACAAGGGTGCCCTCTGACCTGACTGGAACTCGAGCGGGGAAGAAGGACAGGTGCAGAAGGGCAGTAAGGTTTGGGGAGGTGATTTGGGTCTTTCGGGTTGACCAACTTACCTACAGGCTTGCATTTTCCGTCTTTTCGGCCTGCCCATATTATTCTCTGAGTTTTGCGCCTCTGGTCTGGGGTCTGTGAGGGAAATGCGCATTCAGTCTGGCTTGTTAACAAAAGAGCCTTCACATATGATGTCACTTCTTTTAAGAATATTCTTTCTATCCTCTTTTCCTGGTTAATTCTCACTCTTTGAGGCTTAATGAAATGTTAATTCCTGTGAGGAACTTTTCCTGGATTCTCTAATCTAAATCTGGTCATCCTATCACGCCTTGCCTTTGAAGCACTTATCACAGTTTTAAATTTTAGACTTCCTTGTGTGACATGGACATGTGCCTCTCTCTTAGGGTAGAAGCACTCCTGTTTTATTTACTGTGGTATCTCTGGCACCTAGCACAGAGCCTCACACATACAGATGTTTAATATCTGTCAAATGAGTGGTAACAAAACCTAGCAATAACCATTTACCTAGCTATTCAGAACTCATGAAATACTTTGTATAGCATTTAATATATTTCAAAGTGCTTGCATAGCTCATGCCCAGCCTGTAGGGTGTCCAATAAAGCTCAGTTCCCTTCCCATTCTCCACCTCTTAAAATAATAAGCTATATTGTTCCTTATGTGGTAGGCAGCTCCTGAGATGACTCACTGATTCCTGCATCCTGGTATCCATGCCTCCCCATGTGTGTGGGCAGGACCTAGAAGTAACTTGCTTCTAATGAACAGGATATGCACAAGTGACGGATGTCACTTCTGTGACACTTTCTTGCCAGGACTCTTTCTCTTGCCCTCTAGCTTGCTCTAATGAAGCAAGCGGCCACATTGTGAGATGCTCTACGGAGAGGCTCTTATTACAAAGGAACTGAGGGAAGCTTCAGCCCATCAGCCCGCGAGGAGCTGAAGCCTCTGAACAAGCATGTGAGTGGGCGAGGCCCACTTAACTGAAGGTCCTTTCCAGCTAAACCTGGAGATGACTACTAGCCTTGTGACAGATCCAGTCCAGGACCTGTGAAGCCACACCCAGATTCCTGAGAAATGGTGAGATAATAAATACTGTTTTAGGCCACTAAATTTTGGGGTAATTTGTTATGCAATAATAGATAACCAATGCACCTTATTTCTGCAATGAAATGATATACTCATTATTTCACTAATTTGTATAATTATTAAAATGGCAGATAAACTATTTCCTTTTTAAAAATTTCCCCAGTGAAGCAATGAGTGAAACCAAGGTTTTTCAGTGAGAACTCTGCTTATTTTCTTTCTCTTGCTATCAAGAATAGTAAAAAGAATAAGAACTCTGGGGTTGAATTCTTGGCTCTGCCACTTATTAGCTGTGTGACTCAAGAATATTTCACCTCTCTGAACCTTATATAAAATGAGTATAATAGTATCTACTTCATAAGTTTGTTGGAACTTTAAATAGAAACAGTTAGTAAAAGCACCTAGCAATGTCTGGTGCAAAGCTGGAACTCCAAAATGTTTAATTCTTTCTCCCTCTGTGATAAAACCACACCATTCCCCTACTTTATTTCTCCAATAAGCTCCATACAACACCACCCTGACTTGATTGTCCTTCTGAGAGGATCACAGAACATTAATACGGCAAGAGGCCCAAATACTATTTGCTTTAATTCCTTCACTTTGAAGATGAGGGAGTTGAGGCCCAAAGAGATTAGGCTTCCTAGGCCAGCGCTCTTCCAATTATTATATATTTGATTTCTCTTCTGGTAACCAGACACTGACAATCATCTTTCCTCCCACATGAAGTCCTATTTGTGAGCCATCCCTGTATAGCAGTGGTGGATTCAGGGAGGAAGGATGGTGCGAGGGAGAGCAAGGAACCAAAGGTAGGTCACGGGGTCTCACCTGTGCTGTCTGGACGACTGGGACCTGGTTCTGCAGGGTTGTTTGGGCTTGCCACACTGGCTGGAGGCGCCCTGCGGGCAGCTGAAAGCACCATGCGGGCCGAACGCCCCAAAGTCCCTGGATGTAACTGCTTTAGGATATTCTTAAGCTCTGAAATTTCTTTGGTGCTCCTGCAGGGAAACAGAGGGCGCTTGGTTTCATTCAGAACGGAGACTCCATTCCGTTCACCCAAGTCAGTGGCATCTAACCAGGAAAGCCAGTTTATACACAGATAGGGTTAGACCTAGAGTATGTGATTATTTGGGGGAAACCATACGGGATTTGCATGCCTGTGAATGACTTGGTAGCCTTTCTTTTTCAGGAGAAAAAACTGAGAAGGGGCTGGGAGACTTCCATTCTGGTAGCTACGTACGTTTGGGGATCTGGGAAGAATGTCCTCCGGATAGAAGGATTAGCCATCCAGGGGCTGGGTCCAGACTCGGGGTTGTCAGAAGAGCCCTGAGAAGAAAATGGAGAAATATGAAATACATTCACCACCAGGGGATGCTGCTACCTAGTGCCATGGATAACTCCCAAACCTGAGGACTTCAGCTTACTGAGTGATTTATCTGCTACAACTTGTACCGGACACTTTTGCTTGTATGTGCGCATGCTTTTCCAGCTCTAAGATGTGAGGTTTGGTGATTTTATATACTTAGTTCCCCAGTACTAAGAGTTTTGTCATGATCCTGAAGACCCTGGATAAAAGAATACATGCTGTTGGGAAAAACAGGGCTAAGTGACTAATATGTGCAAACTTGTGAAAGCATGTGTGTGTGTGTGTGTGTGTGTGTGTGTGTGTGTGTGTGTATGTACTTGAAAGCTTATATATATACACACACACATATATGTATAAATTTATATATATTGGGTTGTTGGAAAAGTCATGATGCATTTTTGCAATGAAAAACAGAAAAAAATATGTCATGACTTTTCCGACAACCCAATATATACACACACATATATATAAATTTATACATATATAAAATTGACTCATATAGGTACAAAACTCAAATTACCCATCTCTTTATACACCTATGTGAAAGAAACAAGTTACATATATATTTCTTTTTTTTTTGGCTGAGCCATCCTGCCACATGTTGCCAGCTCAGCAGCAGCTCAGCTTGGGCTGGGAATCGAACAGGCGACCCTGTTGCTCAGAGCTCGCACTCTTGAGGAGCTCTTAACCAACTGAGCCACTCGGCTGACCCACATATATATTTCTTAATATTTAAAAATAGTTCTACCTTGAACTACTTTTCTAAATATCCTTTAATAACATTGTTTAATTTCCAGTATGATTTATTTTGTGAACAATTTTGTTCACCTGCAACTAAAAACCTACCAATTTTAGCCACCATTTCTAGCCATCTATCAAAAGAGATGTGTATGTATGTATGTGTATATACATATCACATCTCTCTCTAGCATTAGCCACTGTACCTAACTATCACAAGCATTTTATAAGCCTCCCTGCTTCTAGCTCCAGCAATGTCTGTGTAATAATCACACAACAGATCATATCTACATAGATTTTATTTATTTGGAATGCTACAATTTCTTAATTGTCAAAATGCAGTTTATTTGTGTCAATTCATTTTTGTCAATTTCCTTTATTTTTCCAAATTTAAATTGTTTCCTTGAATTTAAAAAATTACAAATTTTTTTTCTTTAATTTTCAGCTTTGATTCTTCTATCACAAAGTCTTTTAAAGGTAAATATGTTTCTTGTAAAGCATGACTTTGGCCTCATTCTGAAAGTTCGAGAAGTAGTCTTTTCATTCACATTCACTGTTTAATATTTTCTAATTGCCATTACAATCTTATCTTGGATCTAGCCTTCATTTTGAAATATTTTGTTTACTTTACCAGGGCTTTTATTTCTTTTTCTTCACCTTGTCTCATACATTTTAGAGTGAATACTACTAGAAAGGGTAACTAGCTGGGTATGTAGAGATGGTGGTTTAATTTTAAATGCGATTAACCATTAGGAAACGAGCTCCCACGCACGGGCTGAGTGGAGTCAGGTGGCCTGGGTTCAGATCCACTCCAAGACTTATTTAGCAGCGTGACCTGGGGCATCCCACTAAATTTCTCTATGCTTCTGTTTCCTTACTGGAAAATCGGTGATCATAAAAGACCCTGTTTCACAGGGGTAAAAGCCCTTATGTTTTGTTTTCACTGTAATTTACCACTAGAATGACACATTAGAAAAAAAGCCTGTGGTATTTTAGACATCTTACATTATAAAATTGAGTGCCATCAATTAACCTTCTCTTGTAGAAGTGTTTCAGGGTCTCCTTCCCCTGTGGTTTGAGGTAACTGCAACACGTTTCATTCTGCTGTTGATGTTCAGTGCCTTTCTGACATTATGGCTCTGGAGTTGCTGACTCCCTTCCTCCTTGATCCCTCCATGGTCCTAAAAGTGCAGAGCAATTTAGGTGGCCAAAATGGAAAAGACTCTGTGAAGTCCTTATTTATCCTATAATTAGGGAAACCGTATGTCCTGGTTTTCCTGGGACAGTCTATGTTTATGTCTGTTGTCTCAGTATAATTATTAATAGCACTGTTTTTTGGTCTCAAAGTGTCTCAGTTTGGATGATAAATTTTATGGTGACCCTATCTACAACTCCCCTTTGAAAGGTCGTTTATATAATGAACATGTATACTCAAAGCCTACTTTGTTTTAGCTGCCAGGAATGCATTATGGAACAAGACAAACAGGTTCCTAATCTCACAGAGCTTCCATTTATTGAATAGCCAGGGCCACAGAGCTCCAGCTCCATTCATGTCAGCTCCCAGCACTGCGATAGGGCGACCTGGTAGAGAACACTGAACTGCTTCCACTGGTCCTCTTGCATTTGTTTAGCCTTTCCCACAATGGAAGAGTAAATTTCAGACCAAGCTTTACTTGTCTCAGCTCTCTGGGTCTCTCCCAAGGCTATATGCTACAAAAGCACCTACTCCTCCTCTCTGCCCTAACTCCATTTTCTCTTCCCAATGTCCACTCTCTTCTTTTTCTCAGCAACCTCAACAGGAGTGACGCCTGTGGGGCTCACTCCTGGGGACTGAAATTCTTTTGGTTATGTCAATTCTCAAATCGTATAGTGTGCACAGGAAGCATTGGGCTGCAACGGCAGGAGACCTGATTTCTAGTCCCTACTCCGTTCTGACTCGCTGTGTGAATTTGAATATGTAAGTTTCCATATCTGAAATGTATAATGAAGTGGTTGGGGCTTGATGATCTCTAGGTATTTTTTCATCTCTAGAATTCTGACTCTAGCATTATATGATTATATCTTCATATTCGTTTTTGAGTGAATTACGGTACAGGGTACTGGCTTGGAAAGATAAATGGAGACACCACTGAGAAGAAAGCAGGAGGAATCAGAACAGGCTTAGAAAGAAAAGATAACTAGAAAACTGGCTAAGAAAAGGGGAGAGAAAATGACCAGATGCTTATATGTAGCCGGAAACCTATACATCTCTTCTTAGGAATATATGTGTGCTGTACAGGGAGAGAAAACGGGAACACACGAAATTGCACATACCTAAGAATATAACTAGCTTTGCTAGGCAGGTGGGTCTGGGAACAACAATGACAGAGGGACTGTAAGTGAGCGCTGGGACTTTCAGGTGCTGGAAGGAAAAGTCTGATGAAAGCTAGAGCCCCCAAAACCTAGAAATAAAATATGAGATTAAGTTTGAGCCCCAAAAGAATTTCATTATGGCTAAAGAACAAATGGTCCAACCGCTTTGTGTGCACTATATTGAAGGCTCACTCACTGGAATCTGCCATGTGTGAAAGGGAAGGAGAGTTCACGTCTACCTGTAAGAAAGGGTAGCAAGCCCATTTATGTTAGTATTTGAATGTATGTATGTGTGTGTGTGTGTGTGTGTGTGTGTGTGTGTGTGTGTGTGTTTACCCTTCAATCAAGCACCAGTTTCCTAAAAAGAAACTGAAAAGGGCGGGAGAGCAGTAAGTCCTCACTCCACCCTTGTACATACCTGGCTCAGCCCAGAGCTCACAGGGGCTGAGACATCCACCACAGGAGCATCCAAGGAGTCCAGCGAGGAACACACACGCAGGAAGGCCAGGCCAAAGGACTGGTGACGTGTGAAGGGCTGGGAGCAGGTCAGGCGAAGTCGATCCCATGACTCACCAGAGGCTGGAGCCAGGAAATCATCTAAAGGAAAAGAAAATGATGGGGAGAGGAAATGCATGAATGGGAGGGAGAAAAGAAGATAAGGTCAGTACTGAGGACAGGGAAGAAAAGACAGGGACTGTATAAACTCCAAGAAAAGGAAGAATGGAGGTCATCGGTAACTGACCCCGCAGGCTTTGGTGCTCAGGGTTGGGCAGCACCAGCAGGCTAGTCAGGGACCTCTCAGACCCGGTGCCTTCCTTGCCTTCCCTCCATCGCTCCTCTTTGTCACGGTTCCATAATGCTCCCAGCATGAGGATATGCTCGTTCTATACCTCTCCAGGGGCCTCATTAATGTTTCATTTTAACAGGAGATATCTGTAGTGTTGGGGTTGGGGATGACCCCTTGCCCAAAGGATTAGCTGAGCTACATCAGCCCTTCCTGGACCATGAGGCCTCAACCTCCCTCACAGCACATGCCCTACACACTGACTCATTATCACATACCCGTACAACAAACTGTCTCACCTGCAACTGCAGCACTATCTAGTAGTACCTCATCTCTTCCACCCGGTATGCCCCTCCCATATCACTCTTCCTTCACAAAGTAGACACCTCCAATTTAAACGCAGACAAATCCTAAGTCCTGAGAGGGCAGGAATCAGATCTTATGTTTCCTCTGCATGCCTACGGATCGCAGAGATTTGCATAGAACCAAACTCAGGAAACATTATATGCTACATAACTATAACCATCATATAGTCTTCTATCACTTATATAAGCCTGCATCCTACACTAACACTTGTGTGTATATTCACACTTACATTTATACAAAAACACACTAATCACAAATGTGGGTTCTACGTCAGACTTCATGGAATCACATGTTATGTGTAGATATAAATCATAGCTCATAAATATCCCCAGCTATCATGTGTTCTCATCATGAAGAACTCACACACATGCCATAGCTGTTCACTCATTAACTACCCTGTCCCCCCGATAGAACTAACCCCCTGAATAGCCTCCCTCTCCCGAATATATACCCACCACCTCTTACAGGCCTCTAAAATACTACAGCTCTCTCATAATCTCTCTCTCTCCCATTTCTGCTTTTGCCCTCCTTACCATCTTTAAACATGCGGACCCCTGAGCGGTTTTTTCCCTGCTTTGAATCAGCTAGGGACATTAGCATGGTTGCAGGGAGCAGCGTGACAAAAGGTCTGTCCAGGGACCAGGAAGAACGGCCCACATCAATCTGCAGGAAAGCACAGCCACAGTTACCTGGGGACAAGAGGTTGAGAGAAGGATAAGGGTGATGGGATGACAGGGGCTCCTCCGATTGCACACAAGGGAATCAGGTCGGAAGAGGACATTCCTCTATTCTAGAGCTAACTGGAAGCCCAGCAAGGTCAAGCAACACAGCGAGCCAGTAGCTGAACTGGGATAAGACCTCAGCCCACTAAATGACAATGTGAAGGTTCACCTTCTTCCTTCCAGCCAGAAGCCTTCCCCTGACTGAAGAGACTTGCTGCTTCCCTATTCTCTGGCTCTGGCAGGCAGTGCTAAACACTATCTCTTAAATCCTTGCTAGGGGACCTGACATCTCTGTGTCCTGACAGAGCCGAGCCCAGTGGTTTTTGTCAGCTCTCTATTCCAGAGAATTCTAACCTTCTCAACCCATAAACTCCTATGCAGGCTTCCCTGATTAACCTGCATAGTTCATCCCTAGAATCCTCTTGACACTGATATTCAGAGGTATATATAGATCTATTTGTTAGCATTTATAATTATGTCAGTGTCCTAAGGCTTCATCCAGACCACTGAGATCAAAGCAGGGCAGGGATGTTGCATAATTCAGAGTGCCATTAGCATTGAATTCTATGTGAATGGAACCCTCACATACCTGCCCTGAGGACAAGGGCCACATCTCCCCTTTACACCAGGTAGGATTTACTCCACAAAGGCTGATCAGTCAGACTGAGTTGAGACATGTTGGTGGAGCATTTGGAGGGGACTGTAACTCCTGTGTTCTTCTGCAGGGGTTTCCAGGCCACAGAGAACTCACTCACCCACATCGATGTAGCCAATGGGCACCGCCCTCTCCAGCTGTAATTCCACTTTCAGTTGCCCACTCTTGTCCTGAGGGCAGCTGAGCCAAGGACCCCTCTGACTGTCTGGGTTCAACAAGTTCTCCACAGGATACCTGGGATCCTAAGTCAGAGAGAGGAGAAAATCAGGAACCTCACTGAGCCCATGGGGAAAAAAGGATGCCCATGAATGAGGGCTCCTGCCACTCCCAAACCTTTCCAGTCATCCTAACATGGTAGGAAAGGCACTGGATGGGATTCCATAGGAATGCAGCTATTGTGTCAAGGGATTTGCACACACTGTTTACCTCTCCTTCATTTAGCAGACTACTTTATTTAATCATCAGGACAACTTCAGGTGGTTACTATTATCACTTAGTTAACAGATCAATAAACTGAAGCTTAGGTTCAGAACTTACCAAGGCCACAAGGTCAAATAACCCATCACAGTCAGAACTCCCAGGTTTTTGAATCCAGGAATCTTAACTACCACACTATACTATTTTTTATTTATAAGCTGCTTTCACAGACATTTATTTGTCTTTAAAGTAATCCTGAGATAAGGCAAAGATTTTTATTCTAAGTTTACAACAGATGGTTAGAAATTAAGTGATTCAGTCAAAGGCTGCAATAGCGATACTGAGATAGAAATTTCTCAGTTCTAACACAAAGTCAGATATTTTTTTGTGGAAAGGCTTTGAGCAAACTACTTTCTCTCTCTGCATCTAAATTTCTTCATCCATAAGTAAAGTGGGGGAGACTAGACTTATGGTTTTCAATATGTTTTTGTTTGAGCAGTAACACCCTTCCTTTTAACTGAAGTCTTATGCTAAAGTGTGTGTGTGTATTTTCAACAAATAAAGGCAGATCTCTGGTTAAAGCACAGGCTGGGGGACCTAGAGACATACTTGTCCTACCTCCCTTCAACTTCTAGAAGTGGGTGCCCAGAATACAGTTTGAAAACCACAATATTAGAAGATAGCTAATGTTCTCTAGCATTTTATAAAGCAGAGACCATGAAGAAAACCATTTAGACTGACCATGTAGGTAAGAAGGATAAGGGTAATTTTTATTTTATTTCACTTAGAACAGGAGTTGATATAATAGTTCCTAAAGATTCTCTGAGGGTCTTTCTGAAATGTGTGGGGATATTTTTGACTGTCATAATGACTAGAAAGTATTATTGTCATTAGGGCCTGGAAGCCATGGATGCTAAATACCCCACCATGCAAATGATACTACTATAAAATGCAGGCTTATCTACCCAAAATGCCAATGGCACCCCTTGAGAAAGACTGAAAGGGGAAGAGTGGGGAGAAGGGATAAATGGATAGGGAAATGACAGCAGAGGAAAGGGTGGGAAGTCCTTAAGAGTCACCACAGTGGATCAGTGCTGCTCTAGGGCCCGGCATCTAGCTCCAATTGGGATAATCAGGATTTCCTGACAGTGGACTTTTAGGGAGGGGGCTGCGATCACCTTTGCAGGTGGTGGTGATAACCTCAGAGGTCAGGGATGACCTTTGGCATCCTGGTCTGCTCTCAATGACAGTGACTAAACTGCCTTTCTGGGAACCTGGTACAGACTTTGGTCCAGCTCCCTCCGAAGGGTGGAATCAATCCTAAGGTTGTTTTCCTCTTCACCTATAATTCCTGGGGATACTTCTTTTATGTGTCCTGCATTGTTCTGGGAATGACCTGAGGGCAAGAGCTGTATTTTCTCCCTTCTACTCTCAACTCCCAAAGAAAGGAAAATGTCTCTTCTTTTAGATTGGGAGATTGTTGAAAGTGGAGCCAAGTCTCCTATTTTTTTCACTTCTTTGTCACACCTGCTAATTAATATACCTGAGAGGAAAAGGATACCACATGGCTGATCTTCACAGGAGCCATGGTGCGCCCAGCAGCGGTCCCACGTGCAAGGCAAAAATGCTTTCTCTTGAGATTTCGTCAGTCACCACTTTGGTATTGTCTGTATTCTGGTCCCGTCAGCTTCCAGAAGAGAAAGAATCCTCACGTTACTCCTGAAGAAAACAAAAGAAAAATAACAACTGTTTCTCTGGTAGCAGGAGTTACTTGTAGCAATCAGCCAGCCTGTTTCTGATGACTGTGATGGGCCTGGTGGGTATGATGGGCAGGGACCAGATCTGGACCAGTTGATAAGGTTCCAACAAACATGAAACAACTAGAATGCAACCACAGGGCAACAGAGCAGCAAGTACAAAAGATATGTTAAATTGTTAATGTTGGATTTATATGTAGGTGAGCTCCCAAGGGCATGGATTGTGCTTAAACCATTCATCCTTCTTTTAAAAAGATTTTTATTGGGGAATTGTGGGGAGGGAAACAGCATTGGGGAATCAGGGAAGGTGAACAGACAAGTTGCTGTCCTTTTGTTCTTCAGTCTAGCTGTGGAGGACGTCGCTTCACTGGCCCATGTTGGTATTATCATTGCGCTCTTCCAGGGTGAGGCAGTCGCTTGCCGGCCATTGGACGTCCGCTCACAGCTGGCTCACGGCAGCTCATGAAAGCGCACACCAGCTGCTGGCTAGCCCCACTGCAGCCTACGCCGACGCCGGCAACTCACGGCAGCCCAGCTCCAGGTCGAGCTATTGTTCACATCTTAGCTGTAGAGGGCTCAGCATCACTGGCCCTCAT